AGTCAACAGCCGTGCCTGCTGCTAGCATTCAGTGACTCACGTTTCTAGGAAGAGGGAGAAAGCCTGAAGTCCAGACCACCTGATTTATTACACACATCACTGAAGGACACTGATCAAAAGTATCTCACCGTCGCTTCAAACGATTCAGCTAAATTCTGAGAACATCAATGACATGAAAGACAAACTGGAAACTCTTGAACAACCTTTTTGTGACTTAGCTACATGTATGTACCGTCAGACTTGCTTCCAAACATTTGTTATTTGCAATTTCTGCTTCTCCTTTTTCTGTCTCGCCTGTGTCTTACTCTCTCTGCTGGTGTTCGTCCCTCCACCCATCACATTTCCCTCTTTCTTTGTTCTCTATCACAAAATATCGACAGTCACAGCTACTGAACCTCTTCTCTGCTCTCTCTCTACCTCCCTCTCTCTGTCTGTCTCACGCTGCCTCTCACTTCCTCCGGCCTTCACAGGAGGCTCTCAAGGCACAGTATGTGGGTGACCTCACCACACAGTTGTCAGGCATAAACCGATCGTTTCACCTAACTGAATAATACCAGCATTCACTGCAGACCCACTCTAATCCTGCTCTCTGTCCCTCTCTATGCACTCCCTCCAGCACAATGTCATTTTCATCCCTTCTATCGCTTCTTTCTGCCACCAACATCTCCCTCGATCTCTACACATCCTCATCTCCTCATTTCTATGTTGTTCCCTGCTTTGCATCGTCCTCCCCACGTCTCTTTTCCCCCTGATCTTCTACTTGTTTTCTCATTCTTTGACTTTTTTTTAACTATCATCCTATCTCATATTCTCTAAACACACCTTTTCACTCTATTTGTGCCACCCCCTGTTACTTTCAGGTCATTGTGAGCTGCTGCTGCTATAAAAGAATTATAAATGACCTCTCTCTCCCCCCCTACAGGGAACCATAATACAAGATCTCACACCAGCCAGACCTAACATTCAATTGTGTGTGCTTTTATGTGTATGCATGCATTAAAAAAAACTATGTATGCAGAGTTTTTTCATTCTCTTCAGTAAATAAAACAACCTGCAAATACGCCTTGAGCCCAGTCTATAAAAGGCAGGTCACCATCACTGGTCCTCGTATTCCTTCTAATGATTTCTGCATTGCTCACTGCGGTGTTTGCTCTCTTAACAGCAGCAGCGAATTTAAGGTCCTGTCCTTTAGACTGCCAAAGATTCTGAACCTACAAAAACAGCTGAGAAAGTCTCAATGACACAAGCTCACCCTGTACAACTCAATGTGTATAAAATGACCCTGACATCTCCAGAACTATGTCGACTTTGTGGCTGGTGTTGTCCGGCTTAGCTCACGTAAATGCATAGTTAATATTGCCACCTCTATTGATTATCATGATATGCTCCTAGGAGATACAGCCAAAGCCAAAAATATTGGCACCCCTGCCAGAAAATTCTCGTCATCAAATATTCTTTGGTTTTCTCATGTTTATTTCTATTGTTTACATTGGAACAACACAAAAAGGCCCAATCTGACCCATTCCATAATGAACTGTAAAAACAGACTGGCCAGAATTATTGCCACCCTCAGCTTTATATTTGGTAGCATGCCCTTCGGACAAAATAACTGAAATCAATCACTTCCTGTAACCATCAGTGAGTTTCTTCTACCGCTCTACTGGAATTCCAGACCACTCTTCTTTTCCCAGCTGCTGTTCTCCACAGGTGCTCTATGGGATTTAGATCTGGACTCCTTGCTGGTGACCCCAGAACTCTCCAGTACATTGTCTGAAACCATTTCTGGTCCTAACGGAGACCCATCTTTCTAACACTGGCCCTACACTGCACCCCAGAATTCATTGGTGTCTTCAGATGTCATAATATCAGACACGCTGTCAAGATATCCAGAGCCCGAAGCGGCAAATCAACCCCAAAACATCAGTGAACCTCCACCATGTTTGACTGTAGGGACCATATTCTTTATTTTGAAGGTATCATGTCGTTTTCTGGGAACAGCAGAATGATGTGCTCGAACAAAAAACTCTGTTTTAGTCTCATCTGTCCACAGGACATTCTCCCAGAAGGATTGTGGCTTCATCAGATGAGTTTTGGCAAACTCCAGTCTGGCTTTTTTATGTCTGTATCAGCAGTGGGTCCCTCTGTGTCTCCTATCATAGCGCCCCTTGTCATTCAGATGGCGATGGAAAGTGTGAGCTGATACTGTTGCACCCTGTTCCTGCAGGTCAGTTTGGAAGTTGATCAAGGTTCTTTAGCCACCATTCGAACAATCATTCGCTGCAATCTGTCATCTATGTTTCTCTTTCGTTCATGTCCAGGGAGATTAGCTACAGCGCCATGGGCTGTAAACGTCTTGACAGTGTTGCACACAGTGGACACAGGAACAGTCAGATCTCTGGGAATGGGCTCGTAGCCTTGAGATTGTCCAGGCCTTTCAAATCCTCAGACAATTCTTTGCTCTGCTTTCTTTTCCCCATGCTCAGCACGGTTCACACACCACAAAGGTTGAGTCGACTTTTTTCTATTTTAACTGGGTGCAAGTGTGATTTCTATATCACCAGCACCTGTTGGTTGCTACAGGTGAGTCTCATTACAAGTTAAAGGAGCATCACGTGCTTCACATACAACAATTTCTGATGTTTCTGAAAAGGTGTCAATAATTCTGAGCAGTCCATTTTTGGAGTTCTGTGTGGAATGGATCAGATTTGTCTTTTTTATGTTGTTGTAGTGCAGACAAAAGAAATAAAGATGGGGATACCTGACAGAAATGCAGGGGTGCCAATGTTTTTAGCCATGACTGAATGTTGGCATAAAGCAAAGTCATGTTACACTGGAAGGAAACTGCAGACTGTCACCACTGCGCCTTTTAGGAACATTATCTCGTCATACGCAACTTTGTTTGGTTGATTGATAAATAACAGCATGTCAAGTATTCATTTGCACTAACCCCCTCGCCAGCTGTCGTGAGCTCCACTGGTGATGGCACAGCCTTTCCTACAGTTTCTCTCACTGCACTACTGTTGAAATGGGCTCCACATGCACATAAATATCTGCTTTCTAACGTGTATTTATGTCCATTTTGACCATGGTTAAGCACAGCTGAGTCCTTTCTGAATTAGGTGAAATCTGTGGAATGGCCATGAATAAACGTAGAAACAAACTTCTTCACAGAGATGCAGATGCGGCAGGAAAAAACACATACATTCTCAACTATAATCCAGACACAAGAGCGGGTTTTCCTTGGGTTCCAAAACCACAATCTGCAAAAAATACTCCAGCTATGAAATCTGTAAACTCTTCCAAATTAACAACGAGCACAGCTTGAGAAATAAACAGGAGCATAACAAACAAACTTAGACGTGATTATAGACCTATGATATCCCTCCGCCACAGCCCAGCCAGGAACTACAACCCTGGAACACAAAAGAGGAAACTTTGTCTTTAATATACAGTAGACTTTGATAGAAACCGACTCGAATTAGCCCATTGGGATAGCTGAAGCTTCACCTGAGTCTCAGGCGAACTTTAGAGGGCATTTTACACAGAACAAGGGCCGTGTATTGGCCCTCAGTTTTGCAGTGTAGATGTGGAAGCCTTCACTGTCAGTGTGGAGAGTACGAAAAGTCACAATGAGGTCTATATTCTCATGACAATATTGTTTTAAAACAGACTTCAACAATCTCCAACCTATCCTTTAACTGTGCTTTAAATCAGAGAATAAAGCATGTTTGTTCTTAGGGCCAGAGTTGACTGTAGCCAAGCTCCTCTCACTGCGGTCATTTCGTTTCTGTGACCTTAAGAACGACCTCAGATGGGGTAGGAATTCTACCATTAACAAAAATATTTATCTTCGTTTGCCAGACTGGAAATCTGTTGCTCTCAGCACAAGGACCGCATGTGTGTGTGCGTGTGTGTGCAATGCAGTAGTATTACAATATGTTGTAGACATTAAGATGGCAGTTGTATGCGGAGTCACTTAGGATGGGTGCACCAGGAAAGTAAGCTTACATTCTGAGAAAAATTAGGAGTAATCACTAAAATTAGTCTGTCATGGTGATAAATATACTATAATATTTGGGGGGAACTAAGTAAAGACAGTGCTCTGCATATGTGTGCATGGATTAAAAATGCAGTTAAAGAATTGTACTGGGATCTTCAGTGTCTGTTTTGGCGCAAAATATGCTAATGTGGATTATTTGGCACAAATGTCTTTTTTTTTTGGTGGGTGTGGTAGAGGCGGGGAGGGTAACTGTACTGTGATCATTGTCTGTCTGATCATGTTTGCAGCACCACTGTCTTATTAACTGGGCACATCTCTAAAAATATTTGAAAATATGGAGGATTAAATGTCAACCTGTACGACAGTGAGGCATCTAACATTAGATTTTGTCTGTGCTGATCCTTGGCTACCTCTGGTAGTGTGATTCTTCTTAAACCCAGAAGACATCATATAGGAGGCCACCCCCAACAACTTTGTGTGCATCAGAGCGTGTGACATAATACTGTTCTGCACCATGGACAGCGTAATTTGAAAAGAAAATGTATTTTACTGTAAATTCTGTTTTGTTTACAAACCAAACCAGGAAAAGAAGAAGAGAAAAAGAAATAACTGGATGAATCCAATCTTCATTAGAGTCTATTTAATTTTGAAAATGTTCAAGGTGAAATGGAGAAGCGTTGCAAATTTTTTTTTTCAAGTGCTCAAATAATTGTTCTCAATCTAAAAATCTAAAACATTCACCAATCTATAACTGGATATCTGCCTGGACATTCAGTATTCCCAATTATTTAAGACTATGTTTGCTCTCTAAATGTAAAAACGAGCAGACAAGCTCACTTGTCGGATCAATGGGACTACAGCTCTAATGAACAAGCAACGCCTCTATCTCATCCGTGCGCTTTTTTCAGCTTTTTCTAAAACCCATGTATCACAGCCCAAGATTAGGCTGCCCCACATCAACATAGCTTAATCATATGAAGTAAAAATAGGCCAAACTTACCTTGACAGGCATTAAAAAAGGTGTGTCCAGGATTTACTGAACAAAACAGCCAATGTTTCGCCTTCTCTGACACACCTGGCCAGTGAACACCACGGAAAATCAGTGGCCTCTGGCCATTTATGTTATTGGTGCACACGGAGGCATTTCGGTGAGGAAAAAGCCAGAACGTTGTTGCGATGCTGCGGTGCAAAGCCCGGTTCCCTGATGGAAAATTGGGTAATACGTTGCAGCCTTGGCGAATCTGTGTGGTGCGCACTGATCGTTGCTGGACTCACATTTCCACAGAAAGCCAAAAAGAAAATCAGACGGCAGTCCTCAGTGCTCCTTACTGGATAAGTTTTTGGGAACCATTTCGAGCCACAAAATGACAAAGATAATCAATATTTGAGTTCCACTTTAAGACCTATGCGCTAAGGAATTTTGGAACACTTTTTTAAAAGCCACGCTCACGTTGCCCGAGCACACTGCAAAAATCCGGCGAAGCAGAAGAAAATAATTCTCCGACTTAGCGCATTTTAACAACACACCAATCTTCTCATTTGCCCCATTTGCCACAAAAATTGGCACCAAAACATTTCACCTCTTCTCAGACTATTCCGACACGCAAGCTCAATTCCCAAGCTTTATATCCAAAGGGCGAGTCTGTTCTCATATCCAGTTGCAATAGCTAACCTGCAGGCTATTGAAACACCAACAACAAAAATCTATAAGATTTTCGGATTCACTTCATTGTGCGCCCAGACATCCTCCCGGTGGAATACGGGATGGAGGGGTGCGTCTGTCAAACCAGCCTCTTAATACAACCAAAATATCCCACGAAGGTTTATCCAAGGATCGCTTCGGATAAATGGGCAAAAAACACAAAGTTATTCCCACACTCCGGCGCGTTTAAACCTCGTGTGGTTCAAATCTCTGCAAAGAGTTGTGAGTGCCACAGAGAGCCAGAAAGAGAAAGAGATCACATTTAGGCAAATGGGCATCACGGGCTCCTGAATGAAGAGTAATATGGTGATTAGGGGCAGGTAAAAGGAGCGCAACCACCTGGTTGTTCCCCAGCTGAAAGTGCACATGATGGTAAATCACTCCCTAAATTGAAGTGAGTTGAACTGAACCGAGTATTATAATGCATAAAGAGAGGAGAAAAGGGGGCTGGATCCCTTCGCTTCCAAACGCGTGCGTCTGAGGGGAAAACGTTATGGTGGATTTAATATTTAGAGGCACTCTTATGCCCCTGTAACCAGTTCACACCAGCAGTGTCATTTGAGACACAGAAGTAGCGCGCACACACTCGGACTCCCACTCAAATAGACCCAACACTCACAGCTGTGGACAATCAAGCGAACCCACATCACAGTGTGAACGCGAAAAGCTCAGGCATGAGCAACTTCCATTCAAAGACCTTCGGGGCGGCTGGAGGTGAACTGGGACGATGTGCGATGGCGATCATGTTGTTAAGTGGGTGGCGATACCTTGGCATGTCATAAGATAACACTACATATTGTGTTAGCTCTGCACAGCAGCAGCATGTGGAGTCAACTGTGCTGCAGATCCCAGTGATACGACAGAGATCGCGGCATAAAGGAAGAGCGAGATAGGGAATCGCCTCAAGATGGTTTAATGTAGAATATAGACACAAACACACACTCACACACACACGCACAGAGCACGGTCATTTGTATGCTTTCAGCACCATGGACAGCTAACAAGCCGACAGGCCCTCTTCAACTCTGTCCAGCGTGCTGAAAACTTCTTTCATTTGGAAAGACTCACATTAATGTAAGTTATTACTCTCTTGTTCCCTCTATTAATTTACCTTAACCTCCTCCACAAAAGGGTAAATGCTTGGTCAACTGTCTCGTGAACCTCTGAGACACTTCCTGGCATGGGTGTTAATGCTGCTTTTAACCATTTGGCCTTGTCATATTTAAAATGACAAGGAATCCTATCACTTATTAATTTCTCTTAGCTTTTTCCAAAATTATCTGAGTGATTGTCATTAGTGAGCATTAGAAGATCACGCCTTCTTCCCCAGGACCTCAGAGGAAGTACAAATCTTTTATTTCATCTATGAAATATTGTATAAGATAATGCAATGTGTACAATAATAAATAAAGGCCTGCAGTAGCTCATTTCTTGGTTATTCTTTCAAATCTACTGAGTAGGTCATGGAGGCAGATGTTTCACAGATACTAACACTCCATAAGCTACAAAGATATTTTAGTGTTTGTTTGGACACACCCGCTCATCCAATGGTTTATCTTTATCTCTATTATTTCCTAAATTGTAGATTAGACATTACTATTGAAAACTTTGAGACAGCACAGTCCTTTTGGAATCATGAAGTACCACTACCTGATGCAGCAGCACTCCTAGTCAGCCCTTCCACAGCCTGGTGGTGTATTTTGGGTCATTGTACCACTGAAAAACAAATAATTATCCCCACAGACCAGATGGGATGGTGTGTCACTGCAGAATGTTGTTGTGGCCGTGCTGGTTAAGTGTGCCTTGCATTCTAAATAAATTGCTAACAGTGTCACCAGTAAAGCACTCCTCACACCATCACATCTCCTCCTCCATGCTTCTCGGTGGGAATCACACATGCAGACAACATCTAGTCACCTTCTCTGCACCTCACAGAGGAACCAACAAGCTCACATTTGGAATCATCAGGCCAAATTACAGATTTCTACTGGTCGAATGTTTGTTCCTTGTTTTTCATGGCCCAAATAATTATCTTCTTACTATTGGCTTCCCTCAGTAGTGGTTTCATTGCAGCAGTTCAACCACAAATGCTTCATTCATACAATGTCCTTAACAGTTGATGTTGAGATGTGTCTGCTGCTTGAGCACTGATGTTGTTTCACAGTTTTGATGTCTTCAGTATTAATCTACAATGTCAATAATAATAATAATAATAATCACCTTTATTTGGCCAAGTATGTTACACACAAGGAATTTGTTTCCAGTACAGAACAGAGGCAGCCATCTGTGGCGCCAACTCAACTGATGACTCTAACCATTGGGGGCAACGGGGGAGTTCAGTGTCTTGCCCAAGGACACTTCAACACGTGGACTGCGGGCACCGAGATTCAAACCTCCCATTGGAAGATGCCCGCTCTACCCACTGAACCAAAGTTTCCCAGAAACAAACTTTTGTCTGGTACTGTAAAAATAAAAATAAAAAACCTGGCAACACTAGCTGACTTGTTGGAAGGATCTTCTTTATTTTACCAATGTGTTTTTTGGCTCAGGAGATTCATCAGGGTAGTTTAGAGAATGTGTAAAAAGTAGAGCCTATTCTGTGTATACTTTGTAAGAAGGCTGGATCATAGTCAATTATCCACTGACAACTAGACACCTAGGTGGCCAGCCTCCAAAGGACAATTCCTTTCCAGCCCTGGAGTGTCAAAATAAAAGTATACACCAACACATAGTCAAATGTGTAAATGTAAACCTGTCAAATCTCTGTTTTTTACACCTTCTGTAACAGCTGACACTGGTAAAATAAAGAACATCCTTCCAAACAGTCAGCCAGTATTGCCAGGTTATTTCATTTCTAGACTGTTACTGCTTAAGCACCTCTTCAACTGGTAAAGTAGCAACAGCACATTACCTCTGGTACTGTAAAAATGACTTCATTTCTTCACATGCCAGGTCATTTAAGTATACAGGTTAGTTTTAGACACTATAAATGTACTGACCACAAAATATTTATTATGGTATCCTGCACATTTATACCCCACAGAAGACAAAAAATAAAGCATGAGACTTGTATGTTTTGCCTTTGTAGGTTTATGAATAATTTAAGGTGCCATGTACAAAAATACCTCCACTTGCCAGCTTGAAGTAATGTGCGTTATTCATAAGTTGTGAATAATTGAGGTTTAGGAAGCACAGTAGGAAGTGAGGGGGGAATATTTGCTGACGCTATGCTTTGTCTGGGTTGGCACTTATGAGGAAATACAATACTTGGGTCAGGTAATTAGTGGAGAGAACAAAAAAACAAAGTTAGGTACCCCGTGAGTTTTAATGATAAAGAATAAGGTACCAAACTTGTCTCTTCTATTAAGTTTAAACAATAGATATGTCACTGACTTGCTGATACTCTTGCTGGGATTTGGAGAGTTTTCTTTCAGTATTAGCCACCTTGGTCTGACAGTGCAACAACACTGATTAAGTTGCATTGGTTATCAAACTGTGTGGGACTGTCTGGAACTAGTGTGCCAGAGACAAGTGCTGCATCAAGTTGCATTGCATCAGATCGTCGTGTCACCTAGTGTCACGTCACATCCCATCACATCACATTAAGTCACTTCATTTCACACACTGCATAGCATCACAACAAAGCAACACAATTACATAGTAACACAAGACAGTGAAGTAATACAACAGCGCAACATAATGGGTCACGCGATGGTCGTTTTTCATTCAGAACATTAACACCAGTGCATAATTGTCACTAAAACCTGCCAAAGTGAAAATCAGATGATTTTTATATGAAGAGCGGGAACATTGTTTTTCCACGTTGTGCATAATTTTTACCACAAATATGGGAGTACATTGTGCAGAAGACTGATGCAAAATGACTAAAGCAGTTACTCAACCAGGACAAAATACCCCCGTTCCTCCCACTTACTCAGACCTCTCTGGCTTTGTTTCTGGCATAGAAGTGCACCTGACAAAGTGCACTGTAATCTAATTATTACTAAGCCAACAGGTCTTTACCAGCCATTATGTACAACTGCTTAGGGTTAATGTATAGACTAATAATCCAAAACATCAGCTTCCATTAGTTTGCTGATGGGGTGCAGGTTGTAGTAATATTAAAATGTCCTGTTTTAACTGCTTTCAGAGTCTGGTGAGACAAACTGAACATGCCTGCTATCCCAGCTATGTCAGTTTGGATGACCGCGTCGATAGAGATTCGTTTTGACAGAGATGCAAGTTGCACACAGTCTCTGGGGCTGCTGGGAAGAGATAGGCTACATCCCAAGGTGAGTGTGTGTTAGTAGCTGTGTCTGTGTGTGAAAGTGTGTGTTCTCACCGGCTCTGGGTAGAGATAAGGGGGAGTCCTGGAGGTACCTGGAGCACGGAGGGATCTGGAGAGAAATGATTAATGCCAGAGGCTCAAACCACACACTCACTATCTAAAGTCTGTTAAAAACAACTGCCACCGCACTAATGTGAGAAGACATGCAGACTTGAATACACACATATCCTCATAGATGCAGCTAGCTTGTTGCCAACAAGGAGCGACTCTGCTCCTCCTCCATAATGTCATTTATGTCTTAAGTAAAGCACTTGGAGTGTTTCTTTTGTCAGCACACACCCAAACATTACACATACACATACATGCACACCTAACTGAAACTTGAACTGTGTCCCCCTGTGATCTTATGAAATATTCAGAGTCCCAGTGGCTTGGACGTGTTCACCTTTGAGTGGATAAGCCCCTGAATGTCTGGGGGTGTACTTCACCTCAGTCATGTCTAGGCCACACTGATGGCATCCTTACAATAGGGTCATCTCTGTTTTTCAATGCCAGCAGAAAAAGTGGCTGGCAGAGTGGGCAGAAAGGCACGAGTGAAAAGGAAAAAGAACAATGTAAGATTATTAACATGAAAAGTACAGCGTTAAGACAAAGAGGGCTCAAAGGGTAAAAGAGAGGAGAGAGTAATGCAAAAGAAGTGAGGACTGGAAAGGAACAGAACAGAGAATCAGAAGAGCCAAGAGATGAGCTTAGAGAAAGATATTAACAAATTAAAAAAAAAACAACTCCTAGAAAAAGTCATGACATTATTCTAAAATATTCACAGTCCTGGATTGTCAAATCCAAACACTGGCACAACCAAAAGGAAAAAAAATCGATTCACACAACAACTGTGCTGCCATTAAACTCCAGCTGTGATCTTCCACCCAGAGGACTGATACATTGTTTGTTTAGCTGTGTCCTGCTAGTTTTGTGCTTCAGCAGTAGGCATTTTTGTTTCAAAGCTCACATAATCTAAATATTTCAAGTTGCATCATTTTCATTGTTTCCTATCAGGTTTCAGTTGCTGTGAGCAAAACCTTACAATCTCTTTAACTATTGCCACCAGTCATGAATGTTTTTGTTTTGT